AGGTGGTTGTGCCCTTAGAGCTGCAGCATAGGAAAAGGGCAAGGCGGTTGTAGACGAGGAACATATGCGGCCTTGGTTGGGGATCTTTGTTGGAGAAAGCTCTGCATCAACCAAGAAGCTGTTGGTGGACCTTTTAAGTTTAACATGCCGGGTACCAAGGTTTCAGTTGCTGGGAGTGGGCTCATGGAAGTGGCAGGAGGACTATGAAAGGAACTGGGCCCTCGAGACTCTGGGCTCCAATGGCAGGGAACCCACCATTGCATTATGCAAACAAGGCCGCAATGACGTGGGAGATTCGATGGGACATTTGGAGGTGCTAGTAATTCCAAAAGGCATGGGACTAGACCAACAGAAGCACACGACAGGTTGTTTTGGATACCATTAGACAAATTAATGATGAGGTGATCGTGTGCTAGGATGCCATCCTGGACAATATAACTGAGACGAAGCATATATACCTGAGCCAACGACCATCTACCACCGCCATGGAGACTGGTCGTCCGGAACCTCAAGAAGTGAATAGCCGATCTTTAGTCGACACTAAGATACAAGGAGCGTAGCCTTTGTGGTGTTTCGTTTCACGCTCACAATGGCGGAGAACATTATCTCCTTTCATGTTAGTTTTTCTTATGAATAGCTTATCATGGAACATTCAAGGTGCTTGCTCGACAGTTCGGTCGAGCTTTCAAGGACCTCATTTTTACTCATAATCCTAATGTCTGAGCTCTATTGGAACTACGAATTACTGGTCCTCTGGCAGATAACTTTATCCATAGAAGGCTTTGATAGATCGTTTCGTGTCGAGGCAATACGACTTTTTGTCAAAATACAGTTAAGTGCCGCCGTCGAAGCAATAATATTACCATTCTACAAGATAATGAGGGGAATACTGTCTCCGATCATGACCAGCTACAGCGAATGGCCCGAGAGTAATTTCAACTGATGTACACATAGGGGACGTGCCTGAGGCGGCGGTGCATATTTCGAGTCTTTTTCCTGGGCTAAGGGCTTCAAACATATTGTTGATTAATCACCGAATCTCTGATCATGAAATTTTACAACTTTTATGGCGATGCATCCTTTGAAGTCCCCGAGGAGTGATGGTTTGCATGCATTATTCTTTCAAAGCAATGGTCATTTGTGGGCCCCTCTGTGTGCGAGATGATCCATGAATTCTTTCAACATGGGACTATTAAACCTTGGTTGAATAATACTCTTTTTGTGCTTATACCTAAAGTCCAAAATCCAGAGTGCATCAAGAACTTCAGCCAATTAGCTTATCTAATGCAGTCCATAGACTCATTACAAAGTTGTTGGCTAATCGAATGAAAGGTTTATTTCCTATGTTAATTGGCCCAGCATAGGTGAGTTTCATTCTTGGCCGCCGTATTTCAGATAAAATTGTCATTGCCTAGGAATTGATTCATTCAATGAGCTGTAAGTTCGGCAAGTCGAGATATATGGTGGTTAAGATGGACTTGGAGAAAGCTTCCGACTTTGTGCGTTGGGACTACATGACGCAGACTCTACTTTTAGCTGGATTTCCCTTTCCTTACTTTCACTTGGTTATGACTTGTGTGAATTCGGCATCCATGCAACTCATGTTTAATGGAGAAGTGAATAATGCTTTCAAACCAACACGAGGGACGAGTTAGGGTGACTCGATATCTCTGTACCTTTTTGTCCTTTGTATGGAGCGGTTAACCCATCTAATTTCTAATGAAGTGTTTAAGAAAACCTGGCGGCTGGTATATTTGGGCCGTGGGGTTTCAGGGGTGTAGGCCCTATATTTACTCGTTGCGGACGACTTACTCCTATTTGTGGAGGCTTCTCTTGGCCAAGCAATTTTGGTAAAAAATGCACTAGACGCATTTTGCAGCATCTCT